GCACGACGTCGGGCGGCTGCAGGAACTGCGGGTCCACAGCCGGCCAGGGCTGGAGCAGCACGCCGGCGTCCCAGGCGTAGTGGGTGCAGAGCTTCCTGGGCACCAGCGCCAGGCCTGCAAGGTCAAGGCCAGAGGGTCACTGAGCGCACGCGAGGCTCCGGAGGCAGCACCACGGCTTTTCCGAGCCTACCAGCTGCTCCCCACTGACTCCGGCCCGGCTTATCCCCAGGCTACCGGCAGCTTTTTCTCACAGTGCCCGGAGCTGTGATGGATGGACACGCGTTCTAACCAGGCTGCTGGTCCAAGCTGGTCCCTGCAGTTCTGTCGGGGACGGAACGCCTCTGTGCTGAGAGTGGATCCCCAAACCCCGAGCTGCTGGCTTCCTCTCTGGGCCTGGACTACGGTGGTCTGAGGGCCCCACAGCTTCTCTCCCCCTCCAGGAGGCGTTCCCGCCAATCATGGCACTGGAGAGAGCTGACCGTGGCTCAGGGTGGGTCAGACACGCAGCGGCAGAGGAATGAACCCCCGAGTGCTTCCCGCTGCACCCTGAGCTGAGGCGCGGTGCCCAGGCGCGCCCTGCTCCGTCTACAGCCACAGGGCTGCAGGGCCAGCTGTCCGTGCCCGGGCTTTACCTGGGGCGCCCACAAAGGAAAGCTCTGATTTCGAAGCCTCTGCAGATCCCGTGAGCTCAGGTGATGCCCCCAAATGTGCAGGACGTACACACATAGAGAAACAGATGCCTGGGCATTACTTAAAAACACACACAGTCAACTTTCCTAATCTTATTCAAGCAGTCCTCTTCCCTATTGGTCTGTGACGTTTCTTTTACAGTATCTTATCCTAGAGATGGCTCGGGACTATTCACTGCGAAGCTACTTGACGTGCCTGTCTGCGAGGAGGTGGAAACTCGGCCTCAACGTGAATCCACACACCCTGCTGCCTTCGTAGGGAAAGCCTTGCCACCAAAAGCTGCGGCCGTCCTGTCTCCGCTGTGCGCTCAGTGACACCTGATGCACCTTCTAAGCACAGACTCCCTGTCTCGTCGAGGGCTGTGTGTGACTGACCGGCAGGGCCACGGGCCACTCTGAGCAGCGCTGGTCCGATTTACCCTGTTGACCTCGTCTTGATTCTTGCGTTAGTACCACGGGTGTCCCTGCCGCAGTGTTGTCTGTTTTCCTATCAGGCGCTCTTGCAACCCTGCGCTGTCCGTCCATCTCGGGGAAGCGACGGCCCCTCGGGTCGGCGATCGAGTGGTGGACAGGGCCGGTCCCTGAGCCCTGCTGGCCCCTGGGAGCTGGGGCTCCTGCGCTCGCCAACGAACCTGCTTTGCTTCTAACACATGTGCCTCCAGCAGAAGCAGGAAGTAGCTGCCCGCTTGTTCCTCAGAAGGGAGCCTATTGACACTCACGTCTAAGTAGAAGGCGGAGGTCACGGAGTGAGGTGGCCATGTCCTTATTTTAGCCGCTGGCCCAGGATGGCGGGTCCTGTGACCCAGCCGCACCGGGAAGAACTCAGGAACCTCCGCCAGGCGTCGCACAGGATGCTGCCCGATGGAAGGGCCTTGGCAGAAGCGGTTACAAGCTCCCCTGTGAGTGGACGAGGAAGCCCGGCCTTCCTGGAGCCACCCGGATGCGTATTAATAGCAGCCGGGCCCGCGAGTTTCCATATGGACGGAGTGGGCCGTCCTGCCAGCGAGGAACAGAAACCCCCCGGGTCCTATGCAGACTCTGCCTCCCGCTCTTTTTAGGGAAATAGAGGCCCCTGACGTTTGCACAGCAAATACAATGGTTTCTGTACGTCAGGCAGGTCAGGGCGAAGCTGGCCTCGGGGAAGCACGTGGAGAAAGTCCGAGCGCAGCTGGGAAGTGGCCGGCCTGGCACACAAGGCCGCCGCGCAGGGCTAGCCTGGCCCATGGCCCCCCCTCCGCCCCCCCGGGAGAGCTGTTGTCACTGACCTTCCTGGGAAATAACCGAATCAAGCCCCCTCCCACTCGGAGAGCTGGCGAGGTCGAGCCACCGGAAGAGAGTGCTGGGTGGTCATGGCTCCTGTGGACGCCAGGCCTCCCCGGGGCCAGCCTCAGGCCTGCCTCATACACACAAGGGGGGACGTGGGGACGCTGTGGCGTCTGACCCCCCGTGCCTCGTCCAGGCCTCGCCATGCCGAGGAAGTGGACAGGAAGTGAGGCCGCATCACTATAGCCTTTGCCCACAGAAGCCCTGCGTGCCCCTGGTAACAGACCCAATTTGTCAACACAGGTGTGTGCCTGGCGGCCTGTGGCTGAGGACACAGAACTGCAGGCTCAGCGAGTGTCAGCTGGGACCCTCGATGCCTGGGACCGGGACCCTCGGCTCAGAACAAGTGTTCACACCTGGGACCCTGGCACCCACCTGCCTGAGGTGCTCCCTTGGCTGGCATCAGCGTGTGGGACTGAGCTTCAGGACCTGGCTGAGACGTTCGGGCCCGTGTTCGTGCCGCTTCCTTGGGAAGAGGTCCCTCACGGGGATCAGAACTGCGTTGTTGGTGAAACTGTTTCCTGGCATCTCACACCTGCAGGCGCTTCCCAGCTGCGCTCAGACTTTCTCCGTGTGCTTCCCCAAGGCCACCGCCCCCCCGCCGCCCTGACCTGCGTGACGTACAGAAACCGTCGTATTTGCCGTGCAAATGCCAGCGGCTTCTGCTTCCCTAAAAAGAGTGGGAGGCTGAAACCCTGCATGGAACCTGGCGGGGGTTTCTGTTCCTCGCTGGCAGGATGGCCCCTTCCCATCTATATGGAAACGCTGTTGTTATTTTTATTTATTATTATTAATATTTTTAGAGAGAGTGGATGGGAGGGGGAGAGACAGAGAGAGAGAGAGAGAAACATCGATGTGAGAGATACATCAATTGGTTGCTTCCTGCACGTGTCCCGACTAGAGATCTAGACTGCAACGCAAGTACATGCCCTTGATCGGAATTGAACCTGTGACCTTTCAGTCCATGGGCTGATGATCTAACCCAGCGGTTCTCAACCTGTGGGTCGCCACCCTTTTGGGGGTCGAATGACCCTTTCATAGGGGTCGCCTAAGACCATCGGAAAACACATATATAATTACATATTGTTTCTGTGATTAATCACTATGCTTTAATTATGTTCAATTTGTAACAATGAAAATACATCCTGCATATCAGATATTTACATGACGATTCATAACAGTAGCAACATTACAGTTATGAAGTAGCAACGAAAATAATTTTATGGTTGGGGGTCACCACAACATGAGGAACTGTATTAAAGGGTCGCGGCATTAGGAAGGTTGAGAACCACTGATCTAACCACTGAGCAACCGGCCAGGGCTGTCTCTCGAATGCTGCTAGTTCTGACCTTTCCTTGCCTCCTTTGTCTTCACTCTTGGAACGTGTTCAACCCTCATGAAGTCCCTACAATTACCTCCTCAACTCCCTTTCCTTCTAAATCACTAACTCAGTGTCACTGAAAATCACAACCCCCCAGTCCAGGGCTCACAGAACCCATCACAGAACACCCCCCACCATGGTTGTCCCCTCACTTGGAGCCGGTCAGGACAGCACCCAATCACCACTTCCTCCTTGTGGTTCCCTGTCTCTTCGGCTCCGTTTGGTCTTTGAAAGACTGAATGACGTTTTTGGCAGCGTGTGTGGCCAACGGCACTTATTTCAGGAGCCGGTGCTTTCTGTGTGACTTCCGGGCCTCTGGTCGGCACACGTGGGAAGGGCCGCGGTGACGTCTGCTTCTTCTCAGAGGCCCCGGATAAAAGCACCGTGTCAACCCAGAATTCTAGGCGGCCCGTCTCCTGCGAAACGTCCCAGCGGTCACAGGAGACCACTGAACACAAGGTTTGGGGGCCCAGGGCCTGGGACCCACACAGCCACCCGCTCAGCACCTGTCACTTCATTTCCATTCCCACCAGGGGCCACTGCAGGGTTCAGCGCGGCCCTCCTGCACCTGCCAGGCCCGGGACTCGGGCGCTGCAGAGAAACACGCTGACGACCCTCGCTTTCCTAAGTGAACTGAGACTCGTTCGGGCAAGATGCTTTAGCGGCAAATAAATTCCATTCTTTTCCTTCTAACAAAGAAAAAGACTAAAACCTCATGCTATTTTACAAAATAGTTTCATATCATATTAAAATTACAAAAAATGGAGATGAGAAAAGGAAAAGAATAAAGAAGGTGGCTTAATGCAGAGAATGTTCAAATTATTATTTTTTAAATATTTTTTAAAATTGATTTCAGAGAGAAGAAGGGAGAGGGAGAGAGGCATAGAAACATCAATGATGAGAGAAAACTGATCGGCTGCCTCCTGTATGCCCCACACTGGGGATCGAACCCACAACCCGGGCATGTGCCCTGACCGGGAATAGGTCATGTCTCCTGGTTCATAGGGCGAGACATTCAACCACTGAGCCACGCCAGCTGGGCTCAAATTATTTCTTAAGAGGAGAAGATGCGGGTATTGCAGCGATGGCCTTTCAGAACCACCAGCAGGCCCTGTAAAACGTCCTCAACGAGCTGCCCCAAGACCGGAAAGCACAGGAAGCCCTGCCTTCGGCTGTCACCTGAGAGCAGGTCTTACGTTGAGGACACAGCCCACCTGCCTGTGCATCAGAATCACCAGGAGCCTTTAAAGCAGATTCTCCCACTCCAGAACCCAGAACCCGATCTCCAAGGGAGGGTGGAACAGAGGCGTCCACACGGAACCATCTGAGCCTCAGGAGGTCACACCGGCTGCAGTGCCCGGCTTAGGAATCAGGGGCCTGAATCGCAGCCTCAGTGAGTGCAGTTCAGATCTGCACTGTCCGTCCGGGGCCCCTTTCTCCATCTGTGAAGTGGGACTAACCATGAGTTTCTATCTTAAAAACATGACATGGGTCATGATGTGTGGGCGCCAGGAGGCAGGGTGATGGAGAGGAATGTTCTGTGGTGACATCACTATTCACACTGTTCCAAAGGGGGAGGTGTCTTCCCCTTTGGGCGGGGTGACCACAAAGCACCACTATTCCGAGCACAAGACGAGCACAGATGCCAAACCCGGGCCCCTGGCGCAGGACATCTGCGTCCCGCATCAGGTTCTGCAAGAGGCTCGAGCACGTTCTGGGGAGCAGTGACTGGGCGAGGATGCCCACCTACCTGCCCAGAGCTCGGAGGTTATGTGAGGGGCCATCGGGGCGGCCATCACCAGCAGGGCACACAGAGCGTCCTCGAACTCGGGGCTGTGGAGGACGACCCTCGGCGAAGCTTGCTGCGGGAGAGAAGAGAACACGGATGTAAGGCTGCGAAGGCACGTGGAATACGCACAGCAAGCAGGCCAGGACGTAGCTGATGTCCAGACACTCCGCAGGCTGGAAGCAGCCCTCTGGACCAGCCATGTTGGCTCTGGACCAAGAACTTTTCCCATTGATGACAGTATTAAAAACAGCTTCAGCAGTACCAACAAGTACACCACTCTTAACTGAGCACTCACTGCGCCCCCAGTCTGACGCCCACTCCTTCAGCTCTCACACGGCCCTCTGAGGGTGGCGTTCTGACCCCATGGGACAGCGGGAGCAGCTGAGGGTTAGAGGGGAGTCCTCTCCCTGGGCACATGGCTAATGTCTACCCCAGTTTTTATCCATCTTCTAATATGGCATGTTTAACTATACTAAAAGTGGCTAGCCTTAGGGAGTACAATCTATAAATCTCTTCCCCTGTTCTTAAAGGCTTGGAGAGGGCTTCATTATAAAAAGCATGTGTTAATAGTTTTAATAGTTAATAGTTTAAATGTGTTAATACTTTTTTTTTTTTCTTGTCCGACAACTAACCCCTTGCCCAAGCTCCATTTGTTGGAAGTCCTTGGCCTGGCAAGAAAAAGGACAGTCACTTGTCCCAAGACAATGAGACTGTCCTGCGAAGGCTGACTTCTATTCTCAGTGAGAGCAAACCCGACTGGTCTAAGTTAAAGGAATTAAAATGTTAATGAT